CACGTGTTGGACCTTATCATAGGTGGATCTGTAAACGTTTTAAAGCGGTTTTCGGATCTGTGAACGTACGTTTTAAGACGCATTTTGGATCTGCAAACGTTTTAAGACAAGTTTCGCATCCGTAAACGTTTTAAGACGAATTTCTCTGGATTTAGGAATCGATGGGTAACTTTTTTTTTCTTCGTTTGGTAACCTTTACTCATGGATTCTGTGGTTAGACTGAAGTAATACTTGGATAAAGTATAGAATATTAAGCTATGGACTGGGAAAATCTGGAATTATTATTGCATTGTTTCCGTATTCAAAAGAGTAACAAAACTCAAGAGTGGACAGTACATGACAACATCAAATAGATAGTTCTGGTAGTCTTGTTTGACACAGAAACCACGACATGAGCACTGGTTCCGACAACGCCAGCGACAAAAGTGGGCTTCATACAAATGGCCTCCGATTCAGGAAAGAAATTAGCCAGAATTTTTTTTTCTATGTAGCTTTATACCGTGTTGATGAGAGAATCAAAGGACACTTTTTTTTTAAGAGAAGTGAAATGCAAATGAATCGTAATTTTATTATTATTATTATTATTAATCATTATTATGAACTGTGTGTATATTCAGCGTTTTGAAAGGCTAGAATCACCCGGAAGAAGGTTGAGAATAGAGAAAGGGGAAGCAAATAGGACGGTCTTGAAGTGTGAGACAATGGAACCTCAGATTAATTTGATAAGTAATTCTAAATCATTCAGAAAATGTTGACCAGACAAAAATAGATTTTGAGAAAAAAACGAAACCTTCAACTTTTTTAGGATCAAAGTCTCAAGAACACTTCGTAAAAAAACAAAACAAACCAAAAAAAGTCAATGTTTTCATTCTTATTGGATACCTTCGGGAAACCAAGAATCCGTACCAGACAAGACCACAAGACAGGCCTCCTAAACTCTTTGCTTCCTCTCTTTCTAAGACCATGTACACTCACCCACAGTGTTTTTTGCCTCACGAAGTATAAGGACGGGGCTTGTATTTCAAACCTGGGAGGATTCTCGAGCGACTGGGTGGAGATGGAGGACGAGGAGGAGGGGGGGGGAGAGGGTGTTCAGTCGAGGGCTTCTTAATACCCACGAGGAGAACTTTCCGTTTCTATTCCCCCCTCTCCCTCAAAAAAAAAAGATTAAAAAGGATAGTAGAGTAAAGGAAAATCTTGGTTATTTTGGTTCATAATGTGTGTTCCATCTGCCCTGTCCCTCCTGCCCCCCCCTCTCGCAACAGGATTTCTCCCACAAGCTTCATGGTTTTCAAGAATAAAATTTGAATCGACAACCACCACCACAACAAGCTACATCTTTGGCTCAAATTTCTTGATTGTACATAGTAGACTTGTAGGCCTATTCGTAAGTTAGGATCAAGATATAAGGAACTCAATAGTAATAAAGGTTCAATTACAGTGCATCATGTTTTGTTCGCTTGCTACTTTTGATCAGTTAGTGGAATGGAACCCAATTTTCTTCGAATTAGAATGTGCCTTGACATGGATTAAAAAAAAGTAAAAACCAAATAAAAAAAATGAATCGATAGATATGTGTTGCTTCTTATTTCAAATTGGCATGATTTGTAATTATTATGATTATGGGAAATAAATTTACTTTTGTACCCTAATTGGCTCTCGTCTTTTTTCAAATTCCATTTTCTCTCAGTTCACGCTGAGGACTGGCCAGGTCTGTCTTGAGAGACGGACCTGGCCCGCCTTGGTATCCAAAAACAACAAAGAAAAAAAAAACTGAAACACATCATACACACAAATTGACACGAAATTCTCTCTTTTTAGAAGGAAGAGTAACAATAACAACAGAAGGAATTGATTTCACAAAATCATAGACTTGAATGTTGGTTGAAAATCAGTATCAGATGGATCCAGAGATGTGAAAGTGGATTGAAAAGCTGGAAACACTGACTTCAAAGCTGGTTTAACACACGGATTCATAGACTTGACTCGTGTATGCATTAATCATGACTTAAATAACCAAATTCTCAAATGACAAAATGCAATAAAGAAACAGAACCAGTGTTCTCTTACCCCGGCTAGAACATGAGTAAGTTGGTGGACGCTGAGAGACAAAATTTCTTCAGGTCGGTAAGTTAGAGGGTAATGAGCTGCAAATATAAAAAAATAATAATAATAAAATTTAAAAAAATATATATATATAAAAAAAAAATTGAAGATCATTTTGGAATCAAAAAGAGAGAGAAAGAAGAAAAAAAGAAAGAAAAGAAAAGCAGGTAAATAAAGATTTGATAATCAAGAACAGCAATCTTCCATGTTGATGAACGAGCCCAGAGAGGTTCCTTCTACACACGGAAGATATAAAAAAAGAAAAAAAAAGAGAAATAAAAGAAATAGAAAGAAATAAATAAAACAAATTGGAATAAAATAACGAACCAACCCTCATTACCCTAACCCAAAATTATACATACTTAATTCTCCTCCTCCACCAACGAACTCCTGTTGCATCTTGCACAAGCCATGCAAGGAACGAAACGAAGACGTTCCTCGGCATGCAGTTCCCCAGGACATTGCAACCCCGAGACACTGGCACGGGCGCACTCTCGGCTGAGACCAGTACAAAGGGGTTCTGGCGATCGGAGGCGAAGGGTGTCGCTCCGACTTGGCAACTGTGGGCTCTTCACGCCTGGTTGTTTATGTGTATGTATATGGACGTGTGTATGTATGGTTGTCTACGTATACATATATGTTTCTGTTTATGTACATGCATCGTTGTGTATGCATTTATATGAACACATACACATATAATATAGATATGTATGTATGATTTCAATTCTCATTTTCTATTTTTTTTTTTTTTTTTTTTTTATTATGTGCGTCTGCCTCCACGAATCTACGCCCTTACATATCTCTTTCAGTTTCTGTTTTGACACTTTGCCTTCTCCCTTCTTCGTACCTCTCTGTGTGTATGCGTTATTCCCATTTGCCATTTCCTTCGTTTTTTTAATCTATACCTCAACCAATTTTCTTTACTAAATGACTTCCAACCCATTTCTGTATTTCACATTTGTCAGCCTCTTTCCCCATTTCCCCCACTTCTAAGCTCTTCCAACTCCCAAACTTATCATTCCTGAAGACTAATAAATGTACAGCTTTTTCAGTACATTCTACAATACACACCCACACACACACACACCTTGATACTGTAGCCATACAAATTTCTACAGAGTTTAAAAGCTTCTTCGAATCCCTTACCTCGGCTTTCTTCTTGTCGAGTGTATGAGGGTTCCAATACTCATTTGATATGTATATGTGTGTGTGTATATATATGTATATATATACATATATACATAAACATAAATATATATTGGATAGGAATTCAAGATTAGCAATTCAACATTTTCGTGAGCCCTTGTACTTAGTTGCTTTCAAATTTTTTGGTATTGTATATTTTGCATAAGTGTCATGACTATGTTGAATTTCTACGTGTTCTTTTTCATACTATTTTCTATGACCTTTAATGTGCTTTGATTTGCTCAATAGGCAAAGACGTGGAACCTAATTAATTTTAATGGTGAAGGACCCAACTCTTTTTTTTCATTTCTTTGACTTTATTGATAAGAATATTATCTTCTCACACATTGCTTTTAAGGATAACGATAAAAAAACAGAACTTGGGGTTGTCTCATTTCGAAGCGATGGTGTTTCCCTTGCTTCGAAACGCTGACAAGAAATTATCCAAAACGATACGATACACTTTTCTCCCTTTTTCTGTCTTCCTTTTGCCTGATAACACTTGCCTTTTTACCTGGAAACTCTTGCTATGTCTCTCGAGAAGTTCCCGGCAACGTTTCGGAAGATGTGAGAGTTTGCGAGGAATTATATCGAGGGTCAGTAGTGTTCTCTTCTCTTCCTCGGCATGAAAACTATAGGATAAATAGTATATATATATCTTTCTCCTTACATAATAGACTTATACACTTGACACAATACACTTAAGATTTTTTTTTCCTAGATATATAACTATAGGATTAAGGCAAACTCCCACACTTGCATAGATATTAAGTTGTGTGATTGAGGTGTCCTGTGTTGATGTAGTTTCCTGCGCCAAGTGTCCCAAGGAGGCAAAATAGCGAATGGACCTCGACAAGGCTTTGGAGGGGAGGAGCTGACAGACAGACTTTGGGGTCGAACGCTTAGTGCTCTTACAGGAGACGTTGAGAGCCCAAACAGAGCACTCGAGGCTTAGCTGGAGGTGGAGAGTGACCGAAGAAGAAGGAAGGTAAACACACACACACACACACACACACACACACACACACACACACACACACACACACACACACACACACACACACACACACACACACACTCACTCACTCACTAACATTAAAACATATTTCCAGCACAGAACGCGCGCGCGCACACGCACCCACACCCACACCCCACAGCACGGCACCCTGACACGCCAAGCACTTCCAAACACACGTGAAAGACAACTCTTCCCATACCAAAGAGGCGCCCATATTTTTCTCTTTTGCAAACTTTTCCCCACACGTACGCATACTAAACACACACACGAAAAAATACACGAACATATCCAGCAACACCGCCCATTCAGAAGACGCACACAACCACAACCTCAACCTTCTAAAGATGTACACAAGACATATCCCTCAAAACCAATGCCTTCCGAGGATGTACACACGTGCACTCAATACCTCCACCTAAGTGTACACATGTACGGAAGTATGACGACGAATTTGCGTACATGGAGAACAACACGTGGTTTGTTTGGGTGGGAATGAACCTGCGATGCGAAAGACAAAGAGTCGGATTTTCCTACAGTGGTTGGCTAAGAATCGATAGCACAGGTAAGGCTAGTAATTGAGTGTGTGTGAGAGAGAAAGAGGTAGATAGATAGATAGATAGGCGAGAAAAAGAGAGAAGTGGGTTACGACAGAAAGGGAGTGAGAGAGAGAACGTGAGAGGAAAGGAGAGGAAATACGTATTTTGGAAGTTGGAGAGAGAGAGAGAGAGAGAGAGAGAGAGAGAGAGAGAGAGAGAGAGAGAGAGAGAGAGAGAGAGAGAGCAGGCAGGCAGGCATGCAGGGAAGAGATAGGAAAGGTAAGGAATAAGGAAAGTTAGTTGAAGCAGGGAAGTAGAAACATGGAAGTTAAAGGTATTGGAAGAATAAAGGGAACGGAGAAAGATGGAGACGAGGAAAACAGAGAAGAGATATAACTGGGAGAAATCAGAACAAATATAGACAAGGGAAAAGAGGCAGTGAGAGGGGGGGGTAGAAGGGGAGGGAGGGAGGAAAGATTGCGTTAGGAGAAATAAAGGCAGAAAAGAGTCAGAAAGTAGTGAAGAGAAGTAGGGAGAAAGAGGCAGAGAGAGGACAAAAGATGTAACGAGGGGAGAAGAGGCGGATACAGGCCAAAAGAAGGGAGAGAGGAGAAATGAAAAGAGTGAAAGGACGAGCTACGAAAGAGGCAAAGTTAGAGAGAGAGAGAGAGAGAAAGAGATTGCAGAGAGAGAAGAACACGAACCCAAAGTGAGTGAAAGAAAAAAATCTAAAAAAAAAAGTGTATGTGTAAAAGAGGGGAGAAAGAGGAAGAAAAAGAGGGGGAAAGGGGGAAAGGGGAAGTAAGGGGGTTAAAGATCAAACAGCAGAGGAACGAGGAGCGAGAAGTTAGACCCAAGGTATTCGGAGCCGGGCTGGTATTTCGAGGATGAAAGTAGTCCAGGAGGCGACGTCAGAGACAAAGGAGGCTTTTATCGTAGTTGGGGAGGCCAAGAGACCGATTCTAGGAAGAGGAGCGCGAGGAATAGAATGGAGGAATAAGGTAAAACCAAGAATAGAACGATAGATAGACGGGAGTGAAGGAGAGACCGAAAGATTGATGATGGATTTAGAGGCCGCGGGCAGTGTGATTGAATTTCCGAAGGTGAGAGAGTGCAGGGGTATATTATATACATAGATTTCTAGAAGTTCATGTGAACGAATGAATGAAAGTGAGAACGTGAATGAACACACCAATAAAAAAAAGACAAAATAAAATAAAAAGGTGTCCAGAGTGTTTGGTGGTGCAAGCTATGACGAAAAGACTTTTGCCACAACCTGTTTGTTTAACGCGGTGGAAAACGTAACTATCATCAACACAGGAGTTACCCTTTGCGTGTTAACATTTCTCCCATCAGGCTGTGCGGTATGTAGCGTCACTGAAACCTTCTTTTTTATATTTGATCTGTACTTCTCTCTTTCTCTTTCTATTGTTTAAGATTTTTCTATTTCTCTTCTCTTTTCTTTTCTTTTTTCTCTTTATTTCTCTCCATTTTTTTTTTTTGTCACACTTTCCTCTCCCACTTGTTTTATCTATTTTTGTTTTTCTTTTTCTTTTCTTATCTTCTCCAACGCCTGAGGACTTTTGGTGTAGATCTCCCCACACTATAAACTCCCCAGGGATGTATTTTACCTTTTCTTCCTAAAAACACTTATTTTTTTCTACTTTTTACTCCATCCCTCTCTTTATCAAACCTCTTCCTTCCATCCTTTTCTTTACGTTCTTCTTTCTCTGTTGCCTCACGTAGGATTTTAAGGACTTTCTCATGCAGATCCTAATGAACAACCCTGAATTATGCAAGATCCTGTGAGATCCGATAGGAGAAAAAAAACAGAAAAAAATAATGCATGAAGTGATTGATGTTGAAGAGATAACTCACACTTAGGGTGAAGAAGGGTGGGGGTTTTGTCCTTTTTTTTAAGTCCTTTTTTATTGATTAAATTGATTCTTTAAAGTTTATTTTGGGTTGAATTACGCTAGAGGTGGAGTGAGTTTATATGATCTTCCTTTTTTCTACTACTTGGAGTGTAAGTAAATAGGAAAATTAATGATTATTATCTCTTGTTAACCGAAGAGTTTTGGAAGAAACGGAATGACGTGGAAAGTCGACGAAGGAATAACTGTGATAAAAGTAACACCACCAAGAATGGAATAGTTTCTGTAAAAAGAGTTGTTTGTCGTATTGTAACGGTTAGGAATTCCACCCTTAGGCGTCTGCACCCTCACTCTTACGTCACCCTAATGAGTTCAAGCGTAGAATAAATGTGATCCCGATACAAGAGAGAATAAGAAAGAGAGAGAGAGAGAGAGAATAAAAAAATATCTCAAAGGTAAGATTATCTCGATCTCTGAGACTGTGATAAGGCGTAGTTGATTTTTTTTTAATGTGATCGTTTGAGGGAGAATTAAGAAAACGAATAAGGAAACAAACAAACAGAAAAAAAATCATATAAAAAACGAGAGTTGGAAATACTGTTTTAAATCTATATTTCGATTCTTTGTTCATATATATTTGTTTTCGGAAACGTGATTTTCGAGCTAGAGTTTGCATTACAAGAAATGACTAGGCGTGTTGCAGAAGGACATTATACCTCAACCTGTTTAATGAAAACAAAGTAAACAGCAACTTGCACTGTTCAGGCTTGTAGTTTTTACCATGTATTGAGTAGACTAGCTGTGTGCTGTTGATTTTTTGCATTGCTAGTGAACTTCAATCTCTGCTAGGTTTAAATCCATAAAAGAGAGAGAAAGAAAAAGAAACAATATAAGAATCTCCTAGACACAGCGGGAGATACGTTGAGTGAATATATATATATATATATATATATATATATATATATATATATATATAATATATATATATATATATATATTGTAGTTTTTCCGCAAGGTCACTGGGAAGTAATTATAGTTTTATGGAGGTCACTGGGAAGCAATTATAGTTTTTGATGTAGGGTTTGAGAAAGATTTGGTACGATTTTTTCGGGCAGAAGGTTGTAAACACAACAGATTAGAATAGTATGCAAGGTGAGAGAGAGAGAGAGAGAGAGAGAGAGAGAGAGAGAGAGAGAGAGAGAGAGAGAGAGAGAGAGAGAGAGAGAGAGAGCAACAGAGCGACAGCGACAGCGACAGCGAGAAAGAGAGACAGATACAGATAAAGATATAGAGACATACAGAAAGAAGGAAAAAACAATGAGACATATAGACAGAAAAAAACATAGATAAGTGAGTGAACAGCAGAGAGATAGGCAAAGGGAAACAGACGAGCGAAGTGGAGGCTCTAATCGAATATCGAGGTAGAGAGATGGATGGACAGATCTGAGGAAGAGTGAATGGTATGTAATTGGAAGTAGAGGGAAGAAAATGGAAAAAAAACAAGAAGAAAAAAAGGGAAATGCGGTATGGAAGTGACCAGGTAGTAGAAACACAAGAGAGATTTAGAGAGAAAAAAAATGAAGAGTGAGAGAGAAAGAGAGAGATGGAAGAAGAGAGAAAGAGAGGGAGGGAGACTACGAAGAACAAAGGTAGAGGAAATGACATTACCATAACATAGACCCACAAAGAGAACATGTAGAAACAGAGAGAGAGAGAGAGAGAGAGAGAGAGAGAGAGAGAGAGAGAGAGAGAGAGAGAGAGAGAGAGAGAGAGAGAGAGAGAGAGAGGAGGGGAGGGAGGAGAAGACGAAAATGCAATGAAAGTCAAAGAACGCAACACCAAAGATAGGGAAAGACTGACAGCTTTTGCAATTCCTAAAGTCTGTTGTATTGATTTTGGAAAGTGCAGAATGAAATAAAAAGAAAGTTAAATTACTTGGGTACAAGAGTTAAAAGCTTAGGAGTAGTGCATGATGGAAAGGAGTGTAGAAAACTCTTTTGTTTTAGGAGAGTTGAAAAAGGGAGGGAGAGAGAGAGAGAGAGAGAGAGAAAGAAAGAAAGAAAGAAAGAAAGAAAGAAGGGAAGCAGGGAGATAGATAGACAGATAGACATATACACATATACACAGATAGAGAAAGAGATAGGGAATTAATGGAGCAGTAGTTTATATGAAAGAAGAGAAGACAGGAGACAAAAAATATGAAAAAGAATATTGATATATACACAAAAGACATGTAAAAAGACAAAGAAAGAGAGTGTAAGAGAGAGTTAGACCCGTGTTAGTCAGAAGCGTACTTAACCGAACCCAGAAACAGAGAGAGTCAAATAACACCCTGGGATAATTAAAGATTATGATATCGCAGATGAGAGAGAGAGAGAGAGAGCCTGTCTGTCATCCAGCCTCGTGAGATTTGAGATTAGGATAACACGGATTTCGTAATGATAGAATCCATCCAAGAGCTACATTTCACCTTATCCAACCGAACTAAGACATATCTCATCTAATCCAAGTGAACAAGAATATATTAAAAATGACCCCACGTGCCATCCCCGATATGTTTCCTTAGGGAACACATCCATATAGGATTTATCTCATTTATCCAACCTATCCAACTTGTGCTAACTCACCAAGATATCCATAAGGATATGTAAACCTATGATGCTTCCACCCATCACGTAACATCCTAAGAATATCCGACCATCCATACACAAAGCCACTATATATCCGCCTTGGATATTATTCCCAACACAGACGTTGCTCACCTTATCCAGGATAAAACACACACACACACACACACACACACACACACACACACACACACACACACACACACACACACACACACACACACACACACACACACACACACACACACACACACGCACACACAAGTTTATCCAACAAATCCCGGCCGGCGAGCAGATAATGAGGGTCATTAAACAGCCATTTTAGGTTCATAATGATAGGAAGTGCAATTAGATTCTTTTTTTTTTTTTTTTTTTTTCTTACTGGAGATTATATCCTTTTTTTTTTTTTGCCTTTTATATAAGGGTCAGGTATTATGTATGTGTGTGTGTGTGTGTGTGTGTGTGTGTGTGTGTGTGTGTGTGTGTGTGTGTGTGTGTGTGTGTGTGTGTGTATGTATGTATGTGCATGGAGTATATCTAAATGTTAATGTGTGCGCGCGTGATTGTATGTATGTATGCAAATTAGCCATGCCAGTTTTTAGTAATAGGTCATTCATACTTCCTTCGTTTCTTTCATTTCGTTTCTTTCACTTTCATTTTCTTTACTCTGCTTTTTCACCTCTTTATAAGGCCAGTTTAGTTTATTTTCTCTTCTGTCATACTGAGTATTTTGTCTTCATCTCGTACTTTTTGATACATAATAATAACGAAAAAAAAAAAAAAATAATAATGACTTTCTCTGTAGTTATTTTATTGATTCTTCCTTCTGTCCGTTTTATTATTATTATTATTATTATCATTGTTATGTTTTTATCCGTTTCCTTCTTCCCTTACTTCACAAGAATAGTGGAAATGCCTACTTAACCCAAAGACTGAGATAGATAGATGGATAGACTTTTTTTTATTTATTAAATTTTTTTCATAGTTTCTTTTAATAGCGATGCTCGAGAACCAAAGGAAAGGAGTGGTAGCGAGAAGAAGAAGAAAAAGAAATGTTTGGAAGAAATAGAAAGTTTTTTTTTTTTTTTTTTTTTAGAGGAAAAAAAGGCTGGTTGATGACAGCGTTGTCTCTCTCTTTTTTTTTGGGTGGGGGGGTTATAGGCTTAGCTGTTTTGTTTTTGTTTTTGTTTTTTTTGGCGAATGGAGAGAAGAAAGGAAAATATGCTGATGATTGATGGAAAGGAAATAGGTTTAAGGATGACTCTCTCTTGATAGGATTGGTTGACTCTCTTTTAATTCGTGTTTCGTCGATTGTGAATTTTCTTCCTTCCTTTCAAATTCATCGTCTTCCACTTATTAAATAGGTTTATTCAGCATATTTTTTTTCTTTCTTCTGGCACTTTGAAATATCAGTCACCCTTGTTTATTGTTTATTGTTTCTATCTTGTATCTCATTTCACTTACGAAAGGAAATTTTCAGTCACCATTTTTTCCCGCTGTGTTCAAAGGACTGTATTTCCTTCTCTCTCTTCTTTAGGAAAAAAATGATAAAATAATAAAAAAAAAGAACACGGAAAGGAAGAGGGAACAATGAGTCACTAAAGAAACTTATATTTAGTCTTTAAGGAAACAAAAATAAACAGCAGATGTATGGGAAGCGCACATTTTATAGAAAGATATGTTTGACTTTGTTATCGTGGGTATTCAGTACACTGCAAGGGATACCTGTGTTTATAAAGCTGGGTAATTATATTGTTGTGCAAGAATGAAAGGTATTCAGGCTAGCAATGTAATTATTATTTCTTATGTGTACATTTATATTACCGGAGATAGTTCATACTTTGATATTCGGAAGCAGAGGGAAAGGAAGAACAACAAAGTATGATTTAAGCAATACATATTTCTTTTTTTTTTCTCTTTTTCTATTGATATTTCTACAAGCAGTACATGTTATGTGTTGTCTGAACACTTTCTTTGAGCATTTCAACTTTCTTCTAACATAAGTATTTATAAGCAAGGACATGTATGCCATTGTTAGCACAGAATAGCAACGTGTGTTATGTAGTATAAGCGGTGAAGTGATAGACAATACGGCGGCGATCGCGTACAGAGCAAACTTTCCCATCCGCGACAGCTGCCAGGCTCGTAATGTTTTTTTTTTTATCTTTTCCCCGTCTATGTGTTGGCGTAATGGAACTTCTCTTTTCTTTGTTGTTGTTTCATTACACAACACATACACACACGTAGATCTTATACAACCGATGGGCCTGGCAGACGTTAGCAGATGTACCATTATTATTACTGTTGTTGTTATCATTATTACTGTTATTATTAGATTGTAGTGCCACATCGAGTCATTACTACATGTACATTATCGAAATCACGTGACTTTCAACTGGGACTTGAGAGGCTAAAGTAAAGAGGCTATGATAGACGTGGGGAATCAGCGATATCACGTAACATGAGAAACCAATTATGCAAACTAAAAGAAAATCGAATGTATTATATAATTATAATGAGGCTAAAGTACATAGATTCGGATCCGTTTCTTTAAAATCACAAGAGGCTAGACATGAGTAAATCGCTGAGGGTAAGAATTTTCTTGGAGGCTAAAAATATAACAAAAACATTTTCTTTTTTTTCTTTTTCACTGCGTGCATTTACGTAAATTTGATATTTTACTTCGTTTCCTTTTCCTTGCAAATTGTTTTTCTTATCAATGAGGCTAATGATGGAGGTTATACTATATGCACTCGGAGAATACTGACTAAACTTGTGATTTCTTTTACATAATATCTGAGGCTAAACTACATATGAAATAATGTTACAAATATTAATGAGGCTATTGTATGTTTCTTCCTTCAGCGATTTGCACTCTGAATTGATCGGAAATGTATGCGAATGAGGCTATTCAAACTGTTAAAACAAAACAAAACAAAAAAAGGTTTATATATTTCGTATGTTACAAAGATGCAGAAAAAAGGCAAGAATGACGTGAGAAAATGTGGTAAATAGAACGAAGTTGACGTGATTACGAGATCTTTTTCTTTTGAGAACTAGGTAGGCAGAAAGTAAGAATATCACATCTACATTTTTCATCTGTACAGCACCATGAGCTTTAATACTTTCCATCTTTCTGTGATTTGAAAGAATGTGATGACATGATAATATTCTTTTCTTGTTCTTTTTTTCATATTGTTTCGTTTTCTTTCTTTTTTTTCGTTTTAATTTGCTCTAATCTTTAAGTGAGCTGGAGTTGGAACAGCACAGTTAAGGATTGCGTTAACGAAGGGAAGGGATTCATAATGACGAAAATATATATGTAAATTCTCAAACAAAGCTGGTGATATGTATAAACAAAATAACATTTAGGTCTTTAAACAGAACGAAGGTCTTGCCAAGTACAAAGGACGTTAGGAGGAACATTTAAAACATTCAATGTTTTCAAATGTTAAATGAGTATAGATCACCTGGAAGATGAAGTTTTACCCAAAGGGTTTTTTCTCTCTCTTTTATTCCTTATTTCTCTTAGCAAATTCCTTCACTAAGGGCCAATTTCTTCCGCTTTTGAACACCTGATGTGAAATTGACTCTTGGCGAAATTTCAAGATAAAAACAAAAATAGAAAAAAAATGATTAAAAAAAAACAAAACAAAACAAACCCTCTGGAGAAACTGCATCACAAGTTGGTCTCTTGGTATCTTGATTTCAAGAACGTGTAAAAAGGTTTATTAAGGTCGAAAGTAAATTAGATATATAACAGTAATTCGATCGTAGTGACATTCGATCACTTACGTACACAAAAGAACCATGAAAATATGAAATCTAATTCTTAAGATTTTAGAATTAAGCTGTTTATTCTTGTATCTATATATTAAAATAAACATAAAATTGAACGTACAAGTAGAATGACTTAAGTGATAATTTGCTGTGAATTGAGGTCGCTGGAATGACTGATGATGGTGGCCGTGAAAAGCGAAACGTTGGAAAAAAGTGTATGTGTGTGTGTGTATTTTTCTCAAGCAGGGGAATGCATTAGCTTGGCTGCTTGTACAAAGAGAATAAACGTCTGGATTAGATTATAACGAAGAATATGCTGTGTGTGTTATAAGACTTGTGATTTTAAGAGTAAAGAATTTGTTATTATAGCAGTGAGGACTTTTTTTTTCAGGGGATTTGAGATCAGTATCAGTATACTCCTGAGATGTTTTTTGTGTGGGTAGAGTATAGGCTTAGTGCTAAAGGAATGCCGTTTTTTTTTTTCTTTTACTTAAGTGTGTAGATGACAGAGAAAGATCTTGTGTTTGCTTTTTCAGTGTAATATAAGAAAGTGGGATAGAGTGTATGCTCAAAGAAGACAGTGAAGTGTTGAGTTGGGAGTGTGTTGTTAGATTCAGTTAAGGGAAAGATTGTGTTCTGGCTGAAGCGTTTGTTTAAGGGAATGAAAAACAGAGTGGTTTAAGACCTTGTTTGTGTTAGACCAGCCGAGTTATCATGTGTTTTACGAAAGCACGTAATAACTACGAAAGAGAAAGAAAGAAAGGGAGAGAACAGGAAAACAAGAATAAAAGTGTCAGCCCGGTTTTGAATTTAATGTCAAAAAGAAATAGAGAAAGGTTAACAAAAACAAAAAACAACAACAACAAAAAAAAAACTAAAAAAAAAAGATTGTTTAACCAACGTATAGGAAAGTGGCATAGTGAAGCTCTAGATTTGCAGTGGAGTTAGATATTCAAATAGGTATGAAGTGGTACGGGCTTTATTTGAATACAAAGGGGGGAGAGAGAGAGACAGAGACAGAGACAGAGAGAGGGAGAGAAAGAGAGCGACACACACATACACAGAGAGGGAGAAACAGTTAAATTGAATGCAAGGGAGAGAACGGTAGGCTATATTGTGCATCTGGGGGATTGAGTTGCATGTGTGCAGTAGAAAAGGTTGGATTAGAGGCACAGTTTGAGGAGAGAAGGGGAGGCCTGCGATGAAAGAGGGTGTGAAGAGAGAGAAAAAGAAGGGAGGGAAGGGTAGAGGGTGGGAGTGCAGGAAGTGAGAGGGGGAAGAGAGAGAGAGGGAGAGAGAGAGAGAGAGAGAGAGAGAGAGAGAGAGAGAGAGAGAGAGAGAGAGAGAGAGAGAGAGGAGAGAGAGAGAGAGAGAGAGAGAGAGAGAGAGAAAGAGAGAGAAAGAGAGAGAGAGGGAGAAAGAGAAAGAAAGGAGGGGGAGGGTTAAGCAGTGATTCCATCAGGATCGAATAAAGGGAGGTGTGAAAAAATGTAATAAAGGGGAGGGACGGGATAAGAGGAAAAGGGGTTGTATACAAAGAGAGAGAGAGAGAGAGAGAGAGAGAGAGAGAGAGAGAGAGAGAGAGAGAGAGAGAGAGTAAGAGAGAGAAAAAGAAAGAAAGAGAGAGAGAGAGAGAAGAAAAAGAATGTGGAAAAGAATTGAAGAAGACATTTAGATGAATGAGAGAACAGACAGAAAAGCAACAACAACAACAACAGCTAAGAATGAATCCAGAACTAAATACGTAAATGCGATAGAGAAATGAATATAGTAATGAAAATTGGGCGAAGTAAAGAGCCAAGGGAAAAATCAGGATGTGTGGAAAGTCGAAGAGAGTGGGCGTGAAAGAGATCAAGAGAGAATGAGAGAAGAACAGAAGAAATGAACAAGTATTGAACGTTTCTTGAACGTTTTGGCGACCTCAGCGTTCCTACCAGTACAAACAAACAGGAGTAACAACAAACAAACAAACGAGATGAGATGTTGGAGAGACAAATTATGATTAATAGAAGAATTACAAAGAAAAAACAAAAACAAAACATTTTTCTTGTTTTAAAGAGAGAGAGAGAAGAGAAGAGAAAAAGAAAAGAAAGAGAGAGAGAGAGAAGAAGAAAAAGAATGTGGAAAAGAATTGAAGAAGACATTTAGATGAATAGAGAACAGACAGAAAAGCAAAGCAACAACAACAACAACAACAACAGCTAAGAATGAATCCAGAACTAAATACGTAAATGCGATAGAGAAATGAATGTAGTAATGAAAATTGGGCGAAGTAAAGAGCCAAGGGAAAAATCAGGATGTGTGGAAAGTCGAAGAGAGTGGGAGTGAAAGAGATCAAGAGAGAATGAGAGAAGAACAGAAGAAATGAACAAGTATTGAACGTTTCTTGAACGTTTTGGCGACCTCAGCGTTCCTACCAGTACAAACAAACAGGAGTAATAACAAACAAACAAACGAGATGAGATGTTGGAGAGACAAATTATGATTAATAGAAGAATTACAAAGAAAAAACAAAAACAAAAACATTTTTCTTGTTTTTAATAATAATCTCTGGTGTTGTTAAGCTTTAACGTTAAGTGTTTTTCAAAGTATAAAATCGCCCGTAAGGATTTCCAGTTAGAAAGAAAATAATTGTAGACATTTTTTTTTATTATTATTAACCATGGCGTCCAATTTTGTCCTTTCTTCCTTTTAATAATTATGTCCTATATTTCTTTTTAGGTTAAGTGCTTTAGTTATTAGTGATACATTTATGTGTTGTTGTTTTTTTTTTTTTTTTCATTTTTTTTTTTTTTTTTTTTTTTTTTTTTTTTTTTTCATTTTTTTTTTTTTTTTCATTTTTTTTTTTTTTTTTTTTATTGTATTTACGGGTGGTTCTTCTTCACACACATACACACATACACACATACACACATACACACATACACACATACACACATACACACATACACACATACACACACACAGACACACACACACACATACACACATACACACATACACACATACACACATACACACATACACACATACACACATACACACATACACACATACACACATACACACATACACACATACACACATACACACATACACACATACACACATACACACATACACACATACACACATACACACATACACACATACACACATACACACATACACACATACACACATACACACATACACACATACACACATACACACATACACACATACACACATACACACATACACACATACACACATACACACATACACACATACACACATACACACATACACACATACACACATACACACATACACACATACACACATACACACATACACACATACACACATACACACATACACACACACAGACACAGACACACACACAGACACACACACAGACACACACACACACATACACACATACACACATACACACATACACACATACACACATACACACATACACACATACACACATACACACATACACACATACACACATACACACATACACACATACACACATACACACATACACACACACAGACACACACACAGACACACACACACACACATACACACATACACACATACACACATACACACATACACACATACACACATACACACATACACACATACACACATACACACATACACACATACACACATACACACATACACACATACACACATACACACATACACACATACACACATACACACATACACACATACACACATACACACATACACACATACACACATACACACATACACACATACACACATACACACATACACACATACACACATACACACATACACACATACACACATACACACATACACACATACACACATACACACATACACACATACACACATACACACATACACACATACACACATACACACATACACACATACACACATACACACATACACACATACACACACACAGACACACACACAGACACACACACACACATACACACATACACACACACAGACACAGACACACACACAGACACACACACAGACACACACACAGACACAGACACACACACACACATACACACATACACACATACACACATACACACATACACACATACACACATACACACATACACACATACACACATACACACATACACACATACACACATACACACATACACACATACACACATACACACATACACACATACACACATACACACATACACACATACACACATACACACATAACACACAAACAAACAAACACAGACACACACACACACAGACACACACACAGACACACACACAGACACACACACAGACACACACACAGACACACACACAGACACACACACAGACACACACACAGACACACACACACACACACACACACACACACACACACACACACACACACACACACACACACACACACACACACACACACACACACACACACACACAGACACAGACACACACACACACACACACACACACACACACACATACACACACACACATACACATACACACATACACACACACAGACACCCTTTTCCCTCTTTTCCCCTTCCTTTTTTTTATCACTTCCTCCCTTTTCTAATGGCTCGGAAATGAGTTCGAGGATCTGGAAGATATAGAAGATTTCTTTCTCTTGCAATTTTCATCATAACACCTTTAGCTTTTGCTTATTATTTTCCTTCGTTATTCTTCTTTGTCCTTTGATTAGAACTTGAGACGTGAGAAGAGGGATTGAGTGTTGTTTAAATTGTTATGTTTTTTTTTTTAATGGTAGAATGTAGGACCTGAGTAATGATAACGTATTTTTTTATTCTTTTTTTTTCATGTGATACGAATTAGGTTGATATATGGCAGATAGATTTTTTTTTTTTTTTTTTTTTTTTTTTAATCGAGCGTTTTGAATAGATTAGAAAGAAAGACAAAGTTGCAGGTTTTAGACAGGATGATTTCTCTCTTAACTTTCGCTTTAAAACTTAAGGCCTAGGAGTTGCAACTTTCCAGCGGTCAATCTATCAATCTATCTTGAGTGTTGAAGGTCACGTGAAGTTCTCAAATAACACTGAATTATTGAAGAGTTTTAAGGATGGAAATAAGAACATTTGTGAACAGAAACTTTTTTTTTTTTACACTTAGACTGTAGTTCTTTTTTTTTTGTACAGTTTTTTTCTTCCGCTATTCATATTCTTTATTGTCTATTTGTGGATGAAAATCTCTCAATTGTCGAACCCGGAAATAGGTAAAGGTTAACGTTAGGGCGAACTGGAAAAACGGACAGGTTGTCAGCATGTATAAAGTGTCACAGAAAAGGAAAGAAAAAAGAATATATATGTGTGTATATGTATTTAAAAAAAGGGAACAGGGTAAAAAAAAAATGGTGTTGACAGATTTTTTTTTTTTCTTTTTATTTTCTTTTTTTTTTGAGAGAGGCGGGGGAGGGGATAAAGTAAAGGATTTTAGTACTGTGGAATGTGGGTTGGTTCGAGTCTTATATACATACATACATACATACATTATATATGTATTTTTTCTTCTTTTTTTTTCTCTTTTTTTGTCGAGGGAGAGAAATGTTTGAGTATTAACCATAAACGAGTATTTTCATTGCAGAGAAGAACAAACAAAAAAATGCATGAATGACCATAATGAGTGAAATGAATCTTTTTTTCTCTTCTTTTTATTATTATTTTCTTACCCAGTGCATGGAGTTGCAACCATTTCATTATTATTAGCTAATTAATAGATAAGGTAAAAAAATATATATATATATAAATAAAATACTGACGAACGTAGACTTATAAGCAAAACAGAAGAAAAACAAACCAGTTGCCACTTTCGCTTATGGAGAAATAAAAAAAAATAAAAATGGAGAGAAAGGAAACGAAAATAGAATAAGTAGAAAAAAAAATAGGAAGGAAGTGAAGAACAAAAAACGTGGATATTTATTCTTCTCTTTCTTCTTTCTGTCTTTCGCACTTAAAACTCTTATTCTCCAAAATAAAAGGGAAAGAAGAAGAAAGGGAAGAAGCAATGTGGATAATTAATCTTGTCTTTCTTCTCCTCTTTCATAACAGAAAAAAAGGAAGATTTTTTTTGTTTTCACCACAAGCGAAGTGTTAGGCCTATACATCCAAAAAAAAATATATAAAAAACTATCGCACCTTTGCTTTCTTTTCAAATAGTGTTTAATTAGAAGATAGATTAAGTTAAAGACAAATGATAATAACAGTAATAATAATAGCGATAGTGACAAAGAAAATGCTAATAGTGAAGATAGTAACGGTATTAACTTAAGAGAAAATCATAGTAATGATAGGTAGCTATATATATTGTCTTTATTCCTTCGATTTTATTATAAGGTCAGTTAGTTAAGGTCGAATTAATCCATTTTATTTCAGTTACTTTTACCCTTATCGTTTTTCTTTATCATTCAATACTATCCTTGATGGCGCCCTACCGAAATGACAGAGATAGTGAAGAGGGGAGAGACAGAGAAGACGGAATAAAGAGAAGGAATAAATAGGGAGGATGGGGGATGATGCTAATCTCCCCTCCACCTATTCTCCTCTCTTTATTCACCTTTCTTTCCTCCCCTCCCCCCCCCCCTTTTTTTTAAAGGTGGGGATTGATAAGAAGGTTTCTATTTTCCTTCTAAGTTACACCTGTCTCTTTCAA